TAATAAAATAATTGGATCAGGATTTATAAGCTATATCAGACACATAGACACTACTAAATTTGTACCCATTTTGCATTAATGTCATGGGCCTTCATCTTCCAGTCCTAAAATTGCTGTTAGTTACCAAATTTAAAACTTGGCCAGAATGTAAAGAAAAGCATGCATCTATTTTTAAACGGTGTGTTCTGTTTGCTTGCATGTACACCATCACATATGACTCTGAAAAAATGGACAGATGCTCTTTTAAAAGTCGGCTATATCAATAGATGGGCTATAGAAGTCACAGTGCTAGGGACACCCACAGGGAATACGCTCTAAGTAAGTTTTATGAAACAAATTAGAAATAATTGTCAATTCTAAGAAATGACAAAATGGCTGGTCTTCAACTTTGCCAACTTGAGCAGAGGGCAGAGAGTGTGACTGATTCTCTACACACACACACACACACACACACACACACACACGTAGACACACACAGACACACAAACACTCATACAAAGAATGAGAGATAGACAGAAACAGGGAGACAGAGACAAAGTGAGAGAACCTTTCTCTAACATTAATAGTAAGCTGACCAAGTCGATAATGAACAATTTTGATTTTTCTTCTATACTTTTATATTTAAGGAGGAAAACACAGGAGGCTAGTTAAGAACTAAGACAAATCTTGAAAAGCAAGTCCTACCTTTCCTCTATAAGTGGTAAAATGATGTCTACGTGAAGCATTGAAAACGATAAGGTCTGTCTATACTTGGCCTCTGGCTCTTCACCTATAAATGGGGTAGTCACACCATCTAAGTCTGTTTGGCATGCTATAACAGAATGCTTCTAAGTTATTATAAGCAGCATAACTTCACTTTCAACAGCTCTGGAGTCTGGGAAGCCCAAGATAAGACTTTGGTGGATTTGGTGCCTAGCAAGGGCCAACTTTCTCTCTCTTAGACATGGTCTTTTCCTTCATTCTTCACGTGGTAGAAAAGACACAGGTCTCTTTCTAACCCTATTTGGGACCCTCCTCCTAATCTACTGTCATGCTGAGGACTGGGTTTCAGTGGGTGAGCTTGGAGGGCACAGCATTCAGACCATTACACATACCAATCTAATAAGACTGCAAGATATGAATGGGATGATGGACCTCAAACATCTAGTTCATATTAGGGATTCAACAATTACCACTTCTCTCTTCCAAACTATAATTTGTCTTGAAGCTCATTAGCTAGAACCCAGTGAGAGCAGGCTGACAGTGATTTCTTAGAATAATAGGTACTATTTAGACAAGGAAGGCACAGTGGTCTCCCCATTCAGAATTTGGAAGAGCTTTGGCTTTAGGAAGACAGAAAAACTTCTACGGTCTGTCTCTCTGTTCTGTGAAGGTTTAAGTGTAGTCCCATATGGGGAAATACTTTACAAGTAGTTGTTTACAAATACTAGTTTCTTAGAAAATTATTAGAATAAAAATAAGCAGTAACCCCCTTTAATTAAATGGATTTATTAACACTGGTGCAGAATATTATTGTTTAGACTGTTCCCTGAATTCACCTGCTGCTCCTCCCCTCCCCTCTGGCACCCCCTGGAGCTAATAATCTTCTATCCTGCCGTTCCCTACGAGGGCAGCTACTTCAGGCATTTCCATTCTGCCATATTCTCAGACTCAGACCACCATCTTGCTCAGTTCTTGTCCCTAATCAAGGTTGGCTGAATAAAAAAATAAGGGTGAATTTGAAAGGAAACTCAGCAAACTGGGACAGGACATCTTCTACATTAACCCCACATGCTGGTTTCTATCAGCTGCCCTTTATAGTTCAATGAAGAATAATTATATCCTAGTATTTGAAGTCAACTTTATGGCATGAAATCTTCACAATTATGAGTTTTCTTTGAGGAACTAAAAAGAGCCTATAGTAACCCGGTATTAGGTTAATGACAACAGTGAAGTTTGATTTTGAATTATAATCATTTTTGCTCAGGTTCTGGAGCAGGAAAAAACTTAATTTTTCTGTTCTTTGAACTGACCCTCTATGGAGACACAGAAAATCCTTCTGAAAACTGAACTTCCCCAGAGGGCTGTGTCCACCAGGGTTAATTACTGGGCTTTAGAAATCAGAAATAATATTTATACTACTTGAATTTTTTGTAAACAAGAATCAAATAATATATTGGCCAGAACACAGGTATACTGACTCCAATAAGGAGTTCATATATTCATTGTAATCTCCATGGTTCCATTAGCAGCCCCCGACACCCCCAGTTTGTGTTCTCCAGAGGGCATTTTCACCAGAGACCTACCAAGAATAGCCAGCACCATGCTGTCTTTCAGAACCTCCATGGAGCCCGAGCACACAAAGTAGATGGCCTGCAAGGCATCCCCTTGACGCAGCAGATACTCCCCTGGAGCACAGAAGGAGGTTTTGATGTGGAGAGACAGAGACCTGAGGCAGCCCCGGCTGGCACATTCAAACAGGGACAGCTGCAGGATCTCCTTGTTCAGATGCATCGTGATGTCGGAGCGCAGCTCATCTGGAAAGTCTTTCAAAAGCTGTCAGGGAAGATGAAGGAGGAAACCATATTGTGGTAAGATCTAATCCATGACTTTGCAGGACACCAGTGATGCTCTTCCTATTCTTGGGTGAACTGTATCACCGAGGAGGAGTGACACACTCCCTATGATTCCTGTCCGTAATCTCCAAGATTACACAGTGACCATGGCCTTATGTGCTACTGAATAATCAGCTGATGATACATCCAGAGAAATCAAGAAAAAAATACCCTGGAGGAAAGCATCTAACTCTTCTCTCCAGACTGCTTTTTGGCACAGAACACCAGGTGCAGGTCCCACTGGGTTTCTTTGGTGCCATGATCATATGCAGAGATCAAATTATCATTCTTAAAACACTGGTTTATGGGACTGGAGAGATGGCTCAGCGGTTAAGAGCACTAGCTGCTCTTGTAGAGGACCTGGGTTTGGTTCCTAGCACACACAAGCATCTAACAACTGTCCATTAACTCCAGTTCCAGGGGAATCTGATGCCCTCTTCTGACCTCCATGAGCATTGCCCAACATGGGTGCACTTACACACATGCAGGCAATACACTCATACACATAAAATAAAAAACATTAAAAAACCCACTGGTTTACTAGGTTCCACCTGTGAGAGAAAGCAAGGAGTTTGTCTTGCTGAGTTACCGTTCTGTCTTATTTCACTTAACATACTGAGCTCTAGTTCCATCCAATTTTTTTTTCCTGCAGATGTTGTTATTTTAGTTTTCTTCATAGCTGACTAGAATTCCATTGTGTTGGGGAGTTGGGGGGGTCATGAAAATAGAAGGGTGCCCTTAGAGGGAAAGGGGAGATTTCAAGGGAGGAGGAAGTAGGGAACTGGGGAGAACACAATGGAATACTTGTGACATGAATGCAGAAAGGGCTGTTGGGAGGGCAGAAAGGGGACAGATAAGACGAGACTTTTGTCCCCTACCTTGAAGGACTGCTTGATAGGCTACCTCGAAGAACACTTTGGTTACTGGTTTGGTTGGTGTGTTGGTAGACTAGCTGGTTGGTGTACACAGTGTCTTGCACAGTGGTTGTCTATGGATATTTCTAGAATTCTATAGACAGCACATATATATATATTTATTTATTTATGTATTTTATTTGTTTTACTTTATGGACTCTACTGGTAACTTTATGATGATTGATTATCCAAGATTGCAGCATTAAACTGTCAGAATTCCTTCAAAACCAGACAAGAATGAAAATAAATCCACCTGGCTGACCACAGCAGCACAATCACATAAAATTTCATTTCAAAACTGCGTTGTGAGAACATCAGCCTCGGTGAGTGAAAGGTAGGGTGAGCACCGGGGGATTGAAAAGGAGAGAAAGAAGCTGGTGGCTGCCCTCTTCTCATCCTTGCACTGGAGCATCCCAAACCCGACAGCGTGGGAAATGTACATTACCTCATTTGAATCTATTCCATTGTTGACTGACCAGGTGGTCTGAAAGTACTCGAGCACCCTCTGCTTGAGCTGCTGGGGCAGGTGATGCACACGGATGAAGTCCTTCAGGTCCTTGGTTCTGGTGTGGTACAGAGACCACCTGGAGTACATTCTCTGTATGATTGCTGTCACGTTCCCAAACACCAAAGCGTGCATCAGGGCTAAAGAGCACAAGACAGCACAGGAAGGTGCCAAGTAAGATGGAGGCCCCCATTACATGTAAGTCTGTAGTTTATACATCTTGGGTCAGAAAGAAGCATGCTTATGTGACCATGCTAATAGGGTTATTTTGCTAGAAGCAAGTGGGTACACCCACTTGGTCACAAAGTACAGCCTGAAGCAATCATTTTGTTTTCATACGGTTTGATCAAAGTAAAAAAGGCTTTAAAAATAATAATCTGCAAAGTATCCCTTTTTGACAATCAAGTAGCTGCAATTCTGGCTCAGACAACTTCTCTTTGAACTCTAGCCACAAAAGTGTTAGTTTAACAATTACATGTAGTTTAATAGTTATCCTTTGATTGTCTCAACAGTGTCATAGAATAAGTTATAAATGTTTAGTTTAATAGTTATTCTATTCTACTAATAGATTTTAAAAAGCCCCTTATAACTGAGTAGCTTTTGTGGGAATTTTAATTTCACCTGCCAAACCATCACTTAAAGTTACTTTTAGGGCTCAGGATATAGCTTAATGTACAAAACTTTTAGCTCATGCATGGCTCTGGGTTTGATGCAGAAACACAAAAGCATATAAATAAATAAATAAATAAAATCAATTATAGAATAATAAACATGATACATTTACATCAATATAAATATTAAGACAGCTGCTAAAACGTGAGGATTTGCTGAGCACTTGGAAGCTGAGGGGAATGTGATTCCAACCCTGATCCCCACCTCAGTTTTGAAATATCTTTAATCTTAACTGTGGTAGCTGAAAATTTGAGACCATGAAGTGTACTGAAAAACAAGGATGTTTGGTGGACAGTCACTTTTGCCATCCTGGGAAGAACCAGCAAAGTGCGTGTACAGGGGTCTCCTGTTTCAGTGAGGTCTGTCAGGCAGTTAGCACTTATCCTACTTTTATTTCTGTTGCTGTGACAAAACATCTGACAAAAATCAATGTGGGGAGAAAAGGTTTATTTCAGCTTAAAATTCTAGGTTCGTTATTGTGGGGATGCTAAAAAATGAACTTCAAACACAGCACATCCAGTCAAGAGTAGAGAGACATGAATCTATACATGCTCACTTGCTTGCTTGTTTGTGCTGTTTGGTTTCTCTACTATCATACAGGTCAGGACCCCCTCCCTGCCTAGGAAATGGTGCCACCCACAGTGGGCAGGTCTTCCCACATCAACAATTCCTCACAGACATCCCCCAGGCCAACCAATGTAAACAGTCTCTCACTAGATTCCCCTCAGGTGATTCTAGGTTACCAAGTTGACCCTTAACGCTAATCATCACAATATTTAACTCATATTTCCACCAAATCTCCCCATTTCTAACAAGGTGTAAGTATTTGTTCACCAGAACTCTGGGAACAGTGGGGATAGGATTATGGGTGGGTGTTTCTCTTAGAGACAAGCCTAGAGGGTAAAGCTTGCTTTCCTGTTTTTCTATTTTTAGAGGTAGTTAGTAACTCAAGGCAGAAAAGACATGGTAGGATTTTGCATTTCATGGTGATTAGCAGGATGGAACCAGAGGGCTTATCCAGATACCAGCAGATGACCAAAGACTTGGCTTGACCTAGGGCTATGAACATAAAAGAGGTAAGAGAGCCCGAGATGGGCAGATATTAATTCTCAAGAATATTAAGATTTGAGGCCTGATCCCCATCCTGGAACAGGATCACTAGTGAGAAGTGTAAACTCACCCACTTCAGTAGTTCTTCCCCAAAAAGGACTACAGTTATACCAGTTTGTCTTTGAGGACCCATCAAAAGGTCCCTGTAGCTAATATCCAGCACAGACATGGGGAAGAAATCCCAACCCAACCTAAGGAACTTTTGGCAATTGATGGCTGCTGGGAGGAGGAACTACAGTGTCTTATAGGGATGGGACTCTTGGTGGGCTCAGTGGATGGACCCACACTGATGGGCATTTGGGGATACAAATAGAGAAGGGCATTGGGGGTAGGTGTAGATAGGGGAGGGATCTCAATACCATCAAACTATATTGCATGAAAATTGCAAAAAAAATCAACACAAAAACTTGAAAAAAAAGACCCTGTATTGGAATTTCAGTTTCTTGACACCAAACTAGATACGGCATAAATTTGTGGACATACGAAACTCTATCTTCCCAAATATTTCCGAGCAGCCCCAGTTTTTAAAAACTGCCCCTTTATTCAGCAGAAAGTACCAAAAGCTGGTGTATAAATCCCACTTTAAAGCGGGAAGGAAACTTCTTTAGCAAGTTATGTATCAGAGCATCTCGACGGAATGAATAGTGCTCACCATACTTATAAAGTCACAGTTTAACAACGAGATCTTAGTATTTTGCAAAAAGTTACTTGACTAGAGTTGAATTTGGAGCCTATACCCAAGCGGTAATAAAGTGTTGTAGAGAAAATAGAGACTTCAGAGTCAGAGGAATCACAATTTGAATCCTGGCTCTCTTCTTATTGTGTGAAATTAAGTGAAATCCCTTTCCATAGCCTCCTTTCCCTGTATGTTAAGTAGCATGCTGTTACATTGCTTATGAGCCATAAACAGCTTATTACCCAGATACGTGTGAAAAACAGTGCTTTATGTTAACTTTTCCCATGAAAGTGCAAAGTGTTACCATGAGTGTTCAACATGATCCATGGACGATACGGGGGTAAAGACTTTAAGATTTAAGATTTTCTTGTCACGTTTTACATAGTTAAGCAAGGCCCTTTGCAGAAATTATGTCTTGATGACAGAATTCAAGAAATATCCAATTAGTGCCTGTCACATACAAGCACACGGAAGAACGCTTTATTCCTAAATGTATGAAAAAGAAAAGTGTCCCAAATGCTCAAGAATATATCAAGAAACAGCAAATATTGCTTAACAACTTGGTGGTACGTGGTTCTTTGTGGATACTAAATAGCTTTAGTCTTCTCCAATTTTACAAGCACAACAATTTTGACACTTAAATATTTTACTTGGAAGACCTCTACTTAAGAAAAACATTCACCAAAGAAAAGATCTGATTCTGCTCCAAGTCACAGACATTAAATACTGATCTCAGGCTCTGATAATATGCCATGGGTAAGTGCTTGGACACTCTACCATCTTTAACAATATGTAATAGTCTTTTCACAGAGATTAAACTGAGTACAGAGAACAATTTTATTTTAACAGTGCTTTCCTTAATTATGTGTATGATTTTAACTTTGCTTTGCTTAATTATAATGTGTAAAACACTTAAAGTAGGAGAAGTAATGTGTTCAGATCATTTAGCCTCCTAATTGTACATTATCAATAAAATGAATTACTGGATTAATTGTGGTATTCATAAGTGTTGTTGGAATGCGTCTGTCTGTCTGAGTCACCATAATTTCAAAGTCTCATTTCTTCATAGGGAAACTACTTCTAAATTAAGGAGTTAAAAAATAAAACCCTGGCTTACTTACTTTTTTTTTTCATTTTCTAGAGTTATTATGGCCTTTCTGTCACTGATACTCATTTTACCCTGGCAGACAGCATGTGGTGCTGTCAGGACAAATCACTCCATCTGCTATGGAAGTTTGACTTGAAAGCTTCTGTAAGCAGGTCAGTTTGGAAATTATCCCTTTCTCCATTCAATGTATGTAATTCCTGAGTGCTAGGCCTGCTGAGCATGTGGGAGGTGCTTTCCATTCTGTAGGAGTCTTGCATAAAATGTTTTTTGTAAAATCTCATCTCAGTATCAGGTCTCTGAAGGAAGTTTCAGATTTGAGATCCAAGAAGTAAGAAGATCTCAAATGAAAGGAAACACCTGCAGAGTCCAGCCATAGCCTTTGCTCCCTCTTCCTTCCCTTCCCTGGATTTTGGGCACCATTGCTCTCTGGAGTACAATATTATTGCTAATTTTGGTTTTATTCTTTTTTTTATGGTCTGTGAGACAGGGTTTCCCTGTAGTTCCAGCTGTCCTGGAACTCACTATGTAGACCAGGCTGGCCTTGAACTCACAGAGATCCGCCTGCCTAGAACCTCTAAACAAGCTCTCAAGGTTTTATTCTTTTTTAAAAAACTTTTTACCCTCTGCTTCCCTAGGCCTGCATGACTGGCAGGCCTGTCTCTGGGGTAAGTCCATCGGATCCTGAGTGCCTTGACTCCTGGAGCCTCATTCACCCTCCCATCTCCCCCACCTACCTCTCCTCTTAGCCTGGGTCCTGTCCCATTCCTTGTCTTGGCACCCCAGAAACCTGGGGAACCACCACTGCTTCCTGATCCTTTGCATCCTTCTCCGGTCCCAAGGAGCACTCTGGGCCTGGCCACCCCCTCACCTCCCTCTGCTTCCCTGGGTCTTCTCGACCTGCCAGCCTCTTTCCTGGACACGGGGGCTGACCTTTCCTCTTCCTGATCCTTTGCATCCAGACAAATCCAGCTCCTCAGTGCAGTCCCCAGAAGCCCTTGGGGCCTCTTCCCACCCCCATTTCCCTTTGCATCTCTGGGTGGCACGGCCACCAGCTGCTCTAGACCAGCATCTTTCCTGGGCCTGGCTCCCAAGGCCAGTTGAATCCCCAAATTCCTGAGGCCAAAATCTTTCCTGGAGGGATCCAGACCTTAGGAGAAAGCCTGAAAGCATTGGATCCTCACCTGACTTGGGCCTCTGTGGGAACTCCTGAAGACAAAAGCAGTCTGGCCACTTCAGTATAAAATCAAAAGAGAGAACGGGAAGCTTAGATGAACCAGCTTTGCATGCCCAAAAAGTAAACGACAAAGAAACATAAAGTTCACAAAAAGAAGCAGACCTAAACTTGAAGGTGCACACAAGAATCAGAAACTAGAAAAGAAATTCACATGTTAAAATCACAGAGAAAAAATAATAACATGAAAAACCAAAATAACATATCCCCACCAAATACCAATAGTCCTCTAGAGGAGTACAATGAGAACCCCCTAGAGATAATGCAGGACATGGAAC